ACATAGCATTGAAGTTTCGGGTTCCATCATTTCCCCTCGTTGACAGGAGAGATCGCTTCCGATAAAAAGAGATATTCCAAAGTTTTTGTTGAATGTTTCCGGCTTCGCACGAGTAGCACCGTCTTCCCGACTTCGCAACAGTAACGTTACCAATTTTTCCCCTTCATATGATATTACCAACGATAGTTGATTGAAAACTAATTTCAAAGTTGACATGCCTCACTTCACGGTCTTCATTTTTAAATAGGCCTCCATGTAATATATACTTACTTGAAACTAAACATCAATTAGCCATTTAATTGCTGTTGCGAATACGCCCACAGTGTACCTTTCACCTCGGGTGAATTATAAACTTTTCCTCGAGAAGAATACAAATTGAAATCCTTTCACTCGATCGGTGAACTTCTAGAGCCATCTCACTTAGGTCACGAACCATTTCTGGAGTGATTACGTAATACTTTGGAATTTAGAAATGCTCATTCGCAAGTGTTTGCTATTATTTTATTCATAACAAAGTTTATTGTCAATATACTTTCCAAATTTCGAAGAAATTTCCTAACTTCAATATCAATAAAAATATAGGGTGGTTCATGTTCCATTCGATTGTTTCAATAGTTTCATACGTTTTTGTAGCTTCATATCTCAATGAGTTATTACTCTACTGTTTCTTGGTATACGAGTACATCAGTCGATGAAGAACTTTGTTCTCTAGACAGGGTGTAACATAAATACGTCAAAATATTCAAGTGACGTATTCCTGAGACAACGTTAAGAAAGAAACTCTGTATGAACTTGTGACAAAAAACGCTTTGTTTCGGAGATACGGGGTGTTGAAATAGAATATTTTGTTCGCTTTTTGAAAATAACTCTTGCAAAAAATAAGTTATTTGCAGGAAATTGGGTACCCGGCGTTTTTTTGACATGTGAAATCATAATTTCGTAATAACGCACCCGTTGAAAAATGCCCGGAGTGTTTCTTATCGTTTCGCAGCCAGCTATGACGCGATCCCTCAACATTACCTCGTTTTCAATGGGGCTAACATTAACTAGTGATTTTAGGTGTCCCCAAAAGAAAAAGTTGACGGCATTGAGGTCCAGTGACCTGGGGGGCCAATGCTCAGTGCCTCCTCTTCCTATCCATCATTGGGGATATGCTACGTCTGTAAAATTTCTTGCTATCACACTAAAATGAGCAGGAGCTCCATCTTGCATAAACCAAGAGTGATTTCCGAGACCAATGGGAACATCTTCCATAAGTTGGGGAAGCTCGTGTTCCAAAAAATGTAGGTAAGCATCTCCATTCAAACGTTGGGGGAGAAAATAGGGCCCAAATCAATAATCACCAATTGCGTTATCACAAATAGGTTATCTTCCGCCCAGATGTGGTTGTTATGGAAGTTTATGATACCGTTTCTTGAAAAATTAGCCTCAATTGTGAAGAGGATTCTTGATGAAATTTCCGGATATTGTTCGACTTTTCTTTGAAGCTATTGAGCAAATTCAATACGTGGTTGGAAATCACGTACCGTAAGTGACTGGACACGCTGAATATGATAGGGATATAATTGCTGTTACTTCAAAATTCTGTAAACTGTCATGTAACTCACATTTAAAGTCTGACTAATTCTTCTTGTATACTGCAGAATTTGTTTCAAAGATTCCAGATTCGGAAAGTCGCCGGGAAAGATTCGCAAATGCCGCTGCATAAGGAGTCACGCGTTGGGGATACCGTTCCTGATAGATGCGTCTGGCCTCGCTTGAATTTCCGTCAGCCAAGCCGTACGCAAAAACCATATCAGCTATTTCAGCATTCATAAAGTCAGGCATGGTACCAAAAAATCACTTTATAAACTCCGAACTGTGAATTTGTCAATTAATAGTTGAAAATGTGACAGCGAACTTCTATTTTCATAAAGAAACTTTCATAGCCCACTCGATATAATCAACTCAATTTGCAAGCGAAGAGTGACAAAAATTATTGAAATCAAATTTGGCTATGAAGTAATATGCATCGATATAGAAAATTGTAAATATCTCGAAAACGATCACCTCCATTGTTGTTGAGGAAGTGTATCTTTTTTACTTGAAAAAGGTGTGGTAATTAGGTTTTTCCATGAAAAGTACCAAAAGTTCACTGTCAAAGAAGTTAGGGCGATTTTAAATAAATAATGACAGCGTACGCAGCGCTCTCTGAATGTTACATGAAAATTAATACGAAATTATGATTTCCCACGTAAGAAAAAACCCCGGGTACCGAATTTCGTGCAAATAACTTATTTTTTGCAAGTTATTTTCAAAAAGCGAACAAAAAAATTTAATTTCAACACCTCGCTTCTCCGAAACAAAGAATTTTCGGACACAAGTTCATATAGATTTTTTTCTTAAAATTGTCTCAGGAATACGTCACCTGAATACTTTAACGTACTAACGTACTAATGTTACACCCTGTACACTGATGCTGATGATTTTTTCCAAATTTCGATTTTTTGCCCTTCTCCAGCTCATAACTACATGATGTCTTAAAGCGATTTTTGGCCAATTTTTCTCTACTGATTCAAATTGAACCAAAGCGCTGCCAAAACAAACAGAAAAAGTAAACAGGCATTTGGGAATGATAGTGTTGATGAAAGCAGTATTCGACGTTGGTGTGCGAAAATTCGTTTCGTAGCTTTTAGCCTCGAATATGAGCCTCGTAGCGGTTGATCTACAGTAATCCAGGGCGAGGATTCGAGGACCCTGGTGGAGACTGGTCCATCACAAACGGTGCGGAAAGAACTGGGTGTCAGGTTCCAGGCGGTTTTCCAGGTTTCAAACGTATTAGAAAGGTCAAAAATTTCGAAAAGTAGGTGCTCCACGATTTGGACGATCGACAGAAATTGTCACATTTCGAGGTCTATTATTCTTCTTCGCTCATGCATAACCAATACGATCCTTTTTTGGATCGGATAGTCGCGTGTGATGAAAAGTGGACAGTGGTTGAACAGTGATGAACTATCCAGGCACTTTCCAAACTCGAAAACCCACCAAAAAAGATGATGTTGGTCAGCGGCTGGTGTGATTCTCTATAACTTTTTACAAATGGGCGAAACCATCATGGCAGAGACCTAATGTGAGGAAATGAAATATCAAAAGTCCCCATCGATCCCAGTTCTGCGTTGTTTTTTGTTCGAAGTCAAAGGTCACTATTTTTTTTTGTTACGTTTATCTTCCGAATGGTATGAGCTGAAGCGGTGTGAAAGCTACTTTCCGGGTTTTTTAGCCATGGTCTGCAGGTTTTTATACCTGACGGTTAGTTTACTATTGCGGTGAACATTAAATGCGTTGTTCTGAACACATCAATTACGATGCTGATATTTGACTCTGGTTTCATATTATTATTAATGGGTGTGGCTTGGTTTCTCTCAAGTGGATCACCTGACCATGTTCATGTTGCTTTAAGAACAAGTAGTCAGATTTTATTATTTTTCATTGCCTCTTCTTTTCCATCGAAATTGTTTTTGAATTTCTATCACCTCTTCTATACTCTTCAATAGTATATAGCGATTTAGGGATCAACGAAGCCTAACCTAACCTTTCAACGTGAGATTTCTTGCATAACAGAAGAAAATTCCTGTGAAATAGATGAGGATGTAACTGATATTTCCCTCTTCTTCTAACAATTCACCCAAATCAAGAAAGAAGAGTTAGATGATGAATAATGTAACTTTCGTGCTACTACTTTGCTATCATCTTCATGGCTTTATTCGAACTGAACGTTTTATCTTCTAGTTTGTTCTTTCATGCGGTTAGAACGGCTCAAGAATTTGTCGATGTTTTACTGATTAGGGTTCGAGCAGGTATTTGTTTCCTTTATTGACTTGTTTTATGAGTTTGATGTTTTCTGGTTGGGGAAAGTTATGTTTGTTTTGTATGGCGAGGTTTAATTTATACGTTAATGGCTTTATATATGCTTTCTTGTGCTCGTTTTTTTGTGTTATTTTCGTGTTTGGGTTGAAAGTGATGTTGATGTTCAAGGGTTTGAAGATGTTTGGTAATTTTTTGGTTTAGTGAATGTGAATGCTGTCTATCTTTTTGTTGTTTTATTTGTTGGAGTAGTTTGATCCGTGTTCTGACTTTTCAGTTTGATTCTATTTTCTAATGTATCTATTGTATTTGCACCGTACTTCCAAACTTCAAGGATATTTTTCTTATATAGCCCCTTCTTATCTGATTGTGATTTGTTAAATTGACCGAAATGATGCTAAGAATATTAAGAGTTATTAGCAACTATATGATGTATTACTTTTTTCTCTTCTCTATCATTGTCATGATAGTAGATAAGTATGTTTATAATTATTTTCTTATACTCACTGTATAATTTTTGGGAGGGGTGGAAGATAGCCTTTGGCTAACCCTTTTCCTATCATTTATAAGTGTATTTTCATGCATAATAAACGATATTATTATTGTTATTATTATTATTATCATTATTATACTTTGATAAGCCAAGGTCTCCAATGTTATTGAAGAAGACCCCATGCAGTGGCTTATCCTTGTGTTTCTGCAGAAGTAAGGTGATCTCTGCGGTTTTTATCTGAGCTTTTTGCTGAACGGGTTCCAACTCGGTGACAGAGTTCTGTCATGTTGATACTCCAAACTCAAAGGTCCACGGCCTCCCTGTTATTATTATCATCAGATTAGTTCATGTTTGCTATTTGATATGTAATTTTCCTTTCCTCGTTCCAGGCTTCATTGCAAAGTGGTATCCTCAGCATTCTGTAGATGAATGCGTTATAGGCAGGAATTTTGTGTGGGAACAAACAAGAAGATTAAACGTTCAGTTTGAGTATAGTCATGAAGATGATAGCATAGTCTGCTATCGAAAGCATTCATATATAATACTTAGAAGTTATCAAAGATTCAAATCCTTTTTGTAAACAAGTATTATTCTCAAAATTTGAAATTTTCAAAATTTGACTATTCATAAGTTTGTATTCATCAATGAGAATGAAACACAAATACACACACCGAATTCCCTTTATTCACTTCTTGATGGGAAAATTCAACATTTTTTCATATTGTCTTCCAAAACTGTTCAAAAGTCAAAAATAAGTAGTTAGCTAGGCTAGCCTCACAAATTTGATTTTTGTTGATAAATAAAGTGATAAAATTTTCAGAATTCCTATTGTGTCGCATGGCAGTCAACTTCATTGGCAAAATTACAAGTTTTGATATTTTCATCCCATACAGTCGCTGCTGGGCATACCATCGAGACTGGAATTCCTCCAGCACACTCGTAGAACTTGGAACAGTCACGTGCATCAGGTAATAATGATCCATCAGGTAGGCCATTACATATATTTCCTAAAAATTTTGTGACAGTAATAGAAAAACAAAAAGCAAAGCAATAGGAAATTTGGTAGCAGGTTTTATTTTTATCCTTGGAATTAAAAATATTTCATTCTCAAGTAGAGAAGTTGAAGGACATAGAAATATTTTTTGAGTGAAAAATATATGCATACGAGAAGAGTGAACAAGGAGATGAATATCTTTGTATAGGACGTAAATGGTTTCCTTCCTTGAAACAAAAACGTTCAATTTGCAACTAGGAAATAGTGACTGGCAAAGTTGTATCTCGAACATAATTAGTCTATTGAAAAAAAAGCTTTCGTCTATCAGTGTGAATGTAAGTGACATGACCTTGAAAAAGTTGAGGCACAATATCCCATAGAGATTAGTCCCAGTTTCATTTTAACCGAACTCATTAAGCATTTTTCAAACATGAAAACAATAATGTTGAAAAAATTATCTCAGGTGTGTAAACCCTTTTTGAATCGTAGTCCATGTTTTACCCAATTTGCAGTTTACTTTAGAGACGTACGTCCTCGAAAAGAGTAACTGGATTACTAGACAGACAGACTAGACAAGCAATCACCGAATGCACGTGTTTTAGATATTTTCTTGAGCCCATTGCGATTTGTCATCTATCTTTCCATAGAACTCATTCTGATAACATTGGATTCCCTACCGATTAGTACAGTTCCTCAATTGGATACCATTAATATTGTGGATGCAATTTGGGTTATCCATGAATAGCTTACCTCTTGGAATTCGGTGCCTCATATTCGTATGGAAAATAGCAAATTCACTGTGTTTGATGCTTTTCTTGCAGTCAGCTTTTTAATGATGTGTCCTTCATGAGGACAGCATCAAGTGACTAGTACTGTGACAGTAGGATTGACAGTCAATACACGTCAATCTTTGTTTTCTTGAAGCAGTTTCTCTTGTTTCCCAGCCTCTTTCTTCATGACAGAATATAAGGATATGCTTTTTTCCTTCAAAAATTAAACATAGGCACTACAGAAAAATCCTTGGGCGAGCTGTGGTGCCTGTGCGAAAGTAGGGAATTACGTTGAATTTTTTTCGCTGGAGTTTATTCCACATGAACCACATGAAGTTCTCCAAATGAAAAAGTTTTCAAAACAGTGAAGTTCGAGGTGTACTGAGTTGAACCAAAAAATGAAGAGCAGCTACAGTTTGCTGGATGGAATCCAGCAGCTTCTGTGTATGCTTAGGAGCGGAGCTCCATACATGTGAACAATATCTAAAGAAGGTCTGATCTGAGCCCCATACAGCATCACACTTGCTGAGGTGTGTACAGTTTCTGGTTCAGAACAGTGTTCCAAGCTTTTGAGAAGTGGCTTTTGTAGTTTCAGCGACATGATTGTGCCAATACATATTGGTATCCACTTCAACCCCCAACAAACACATCTAAGTAGAAAGCGTCCTGACATTATCGTATTCGGTTCGAAAACATTAATTTTTTTGGAGAAAATCGATACCTGAGTTTTTGTAACATTGAATGGAACCTGGTTACTTTCACCCCAATTCGAAATCACCTGTAGTTTCTCATTGAGAAGTGAAACCTCCTGCTGCCGATGAAGATGTGCATCCGCAGTTGATGTCCTAGAATCCAATTAGAATGATGAGACATGCTCATTTTCCCAGTACTCTCTGAGATACCTAGTGACTCATCTCCTGATCTGGTTCAGCACCATATATTTTGTCTCACCTGGTTCAGAACCAATGTTTGTAGTTGAGGATCATTGTTCAATACATTCATCAACTTTTTTGTCGTCTTCGTTTCCTGAGTGTCTTAGCACCCACCCTAGAGTCAAAATATGTTTGTCAGCTCCTTCACTTCTTCGGTTCCCCACTCCCAAACCAGTATCCATATTACCTTCTCTCTATTATAATATTAATCCGTTGAGCTTCGATGAGCCTCAAACTGATATTTCTTGCGAATTGCAGAATTGCATACACGTCTGCTTGGTAGACGGGAGTGTACTGACCAAGTGGATGGCTGTAATGTAAATTTCTTCTCCTCATATTAGATTGAAAGTTAAACTGGAATCTCTGACGAAGAATAAATTCAAAAGAAGCACTTTTCCCAATCACTCATTCTAATAAAATTCGATCCTCTACCGATCAGTAAAGACAACTCTCAAATTCTCAATTTATATCAACACATCACACTTTCACTTTTCGCAAAACTGAGTGATTCAAAAAAAGGAATACAGTGGGCTGCTTAGAATGAGACCTTGGTTACTGTTCATAGTTCTCATGTCACACTCTCCTGTTTCCAGACTTTCGAAAGCATCTAAAAGTCTTGTGTTATGTACCGATCCCAACAATGTCAGATGAATTTCATTTAATCCATGGCCATTCTTCTAGGCGTGTTGAGTGACACAGGATTTTCCTGATCTCCAAAATCAGATTTGTGCTGCGTGTTCTTTGGAACGAGTCCTAATGGGTCGCTTAGTCTGACCGATGCATTTTGGTCACAGTCCTCATAGCTAATTCCATATGTCCTCGAATTTTTATTTTCCAACATCTCGTCTTCAGGGTTACCTAACATGTGAGCTAGATCGTTTTTTGAAAACACGATCTAATCAGTTAGTGTATCTTGGTTCAGTCGGAAGAACAATGAACTTATATCAAGGGGAAGAAAGCAAGGCTGTTAGGTGTTAGTTTTTTG